TTTTCTCTGTCTTTGTCTCTTTATCTTTCAAATAAATTTTTAAAAGTTTATGGAAAGGGCTGGCGTTTTGGTGTGTGGGTAAAGCTGTCACCTGTGATGCTGGTATCTCATATGGGTGCTGGTTTGTGTCTGGGATGCTCCACTTCTGATCCAGCTCCCTGCTAGTGACCTGGGAAAAGTGGTGGAAGGTGGCCTGAGTGTTTGGGCACCTGCCACCTATGTGGGAGACCTGGATGAAGTCCCTTAGTTCCTGGCTGCTTCAGTCTGGCCCAGCTCTGGCCATCTGGGGAGTGAACTGGAAGAGATCTCTGTCTCTTCCTCCATGTCTGTAATTCTGCCTCCCAAATCAATCAATTTTTAAAAAGTTTATGGAAAATATGGTTAAAAGATAAGTTTATTTTGGTGCAAAATAATTTTGAAATTCATGCATATAAGAGTCTTCATAAAAGACCTTGGAAAATAAGTGTTTTGGAAGCCATGTGGAGGCAGCATTGTGGCCCAGCAGGTTAAGCAGCTCCCTGTGACACTAGCATCTCATATCAGTGCTGGTTCAAGTTAGCTGTTCCTCTTATGATCCACCTTCCTGTTAATGGGCCTGGGAAAACAGAAGATGGCCCAAATGCTTGTGCCTCTGCCATCTACATGGGAAACCCATATGGAGTTCCAGACTCTTGGTTTTGGACTGGCTCAGCTCTGGCCATTGTGGCCACGAGGGGAGTGGACCAGAGGAGAGAAGATGAGTATCTATTTCTGTTTCTCCCTCTCTCTATATTAGTCTGCCTTTCAGTCTTTTGCAGATCTTTTACATAAGATAGAAAAAAAAAAAAGCTATGTGTAGATTTCAAAATTTTTTCCCAAATAAGCTTCCATTTCTTCCAGAGTTTCTGAAGTACTCTCATATATGAGATTACTTTCTAAATTTCTCTACCAGTTTCTGAGCTTGTGCTCATTTTTTTTTTCTGTCTCATAGAGATGAGAAAATATCTGTTGTTTTTTTGCTTAGTCTGTTTTGTGTTGCTGTAACAAATTTTAAATATTTTACACCAAAGTAAATTTCTCTTAATTGCATTCTTCTGTAACTTTTTGGTGTACCCTTGAAGGTAACCTTAAATAATGCTATTTTAAGTATGTGGCTATTGGATAGCATAGATGGCCATCCTTGTACTACTTGTCAGTGTTGTCGGTGGTGTTTCTTTCGTTTTCCTGATTGATTTACCACTTATTCCAAACAGAAATGTTTCTTTTTGACTCATTACTTGTCTGTCATGGGTCAGATTTGCTTTTGTTCCTTCCTCCTCTCTCAAAGTTCCAGACGGAGGGTCTTGGTCTTCTATAATATTGTTGGTCCTTGTAGCAGAGAGAGAACTTGGTGGCTTATGCTTGGCTCTTACACTTGTCACTTTCACTCACATGTCATTGGTCAAACAAGGCAGATGAGGACCACCAATCAGTTTATGTGAGTTATGTTGCAAGGGTACGTTTAATTATTCCGCAGAGAAAGACACTAATGCAATGGATGAATTGGGTCCTCCCAGATTTTAGATAGTTGAGCCAAGTCTTAAGCCCAAGTGTGACTTTAGAAATAGGACTATTAAGAGGTAATTACCGTTAAATGAAGTCATGATGATAGGGCCATAATCTGATAGGATTTGAGGCCTTAGAAGAAGCGGGAGAGAGATCCACCCTATGAGGATACATCAGGAAGGCTCCTGTCTGTAAGCTAGGAAGAGAGACCTCATCAGGAACTGAATCTACTGGTATGTTGATTTTGGACTGTGCTGTGATAATCAAAATATCTGTTGTTTAAGCCACCCAGTGCATGGTATTTGTGTTGGCAGCCCAAGATGATGAAAACATGTAAGGACACTGATTTGGGGTGAAGGGAAATATAATCCATCATATACTGTCTATTCTTGCAGCTTTATTTATTTATTTTTTTTGATTTATTTGACAGATAGAGTGAGACAGTGAGAGAGAGAGACAGAGAGAAAGGTCTTCCTTCCATTGGTTTACCCCCTACATGGCCGCCATGGCCGGAGCTACGCTGATCTGAAGCCAGGAGCCAGGTACTTCCTGGTCTTTGATGCGAGTGCAGGCGCCCAGGCACTTGGGCCATCCTCCACTGCCTTCCCCGGGCCACAGCAGAGAGCTGGACTGGAAGGCCTGGCGCCCATATGGGATGTTGGCGCTGCAGGCTGAGGATTAACCAAGTGAGCCATGGCCCCTGCAGCTTTAATTTTTCACATGAATGTTGAATTAGCTTGTCTCCATATATGAGTAAATTGTTTCCATTAGGTTGTTAAATCAGTTTACTGACTTAAGGAGAATTGACATGTTTGTGATGCAGAATCTTGTCCATGAATATATTCTTCTTTTTTTGGACTCACATATTTCCCTTCTATCATATAAGTACAGTTGTGTACTTTGTTGTTGTTACATATATTGCTAGATATTTCACTTTCTTGTTTTTGTTACTGTATTAATGTTGGATTTGTATGATGACTTTATGTGTTATATTTTTATGTTAATTTATTGCATCATGGTGTTTGGAGTAGTTTTTAGGAGATTTACTTTTGTAGGTATAAATTGTATGCAGATTAGTTATTTTCAATTGTTTATTTTCCTTTGAATTGATTAACACATCTTGTCTGGTGCTAAATAATTACATTAATGAAGTATCGTTAGCTTTCAGTGTTTCCCCTTTAACTACAGTGCTGATTCTTGGGCTAAGAGATACACAATATATATATGGCCTCCAATGGCCGCCGCAGCCGGTGCGCTGCAGCCAGTGCACCGTGCTGCCAATGGCAGGAGCCAGGTACTTATCCTGGTCTCCCATGGGGTGCAGGGCCCAAGGACTTGGACCTTCCTCCACTGCACTCCCTGGCCACAGCAGAGAGCTGGCCTGGAAGAGGGGCAACTGGGACAGAATTCGGCACCCCGACCGAGACTAGAACCGGGTGTGCCGGCACCGCAAGGCGGAGGATTAGCCTAGTGAGCCGTGGCACCGGCACCACATTTTATGTTAAGGAAGAGTGCCCTGAGCCTCTTTTATTAAGGCTCTTCATTACAAATGGGACATTTTAAAATATACTTTTCTCAGTATCTATGTGGGTGGTTATGAATTTGATAAAATACATGAGTGTAGTTTAAAAAGTTTGTGAAAAATGAAATTAAAATCTAAGTTTATTTTGGAGCAAAAAGTTTTTCAAATCATATATATTCATGTTAATGATTTCTTAAGATTGAGATGTTCTTTATTCCTGAAATAAACCTTAAAATTTTCTTCTTTGCTGTCTTGTTCTATGAATATTTCCCTTTTTCTTTTAGTGAATGTCAGTGTATCCTCAGATTATATACTTGTTCATTTTCTTCTTTCTATACTCAGCTTCTCTTTTAGCCATTACTCTTAAGGCTTCAGGCATCACTGAAATTCTGCTTCCCAAATATTTATCTTCATCTTAGATTTTTCTCTTGAGCTCTGTATCATATCTCTAGTTGGCAGTTGAACACCCCCCCCCCCCCCCATATTTTACTACAGAAACTTCAAGCACAGTATGTCCAGGATCATTCTTACATCTTTCCACCATATTTTTGTTCTTTTTCCTGATTTCAGTCCTAGTATCTACCTAACTACTCAGACAGACATCGTGAAACTAAACTCTACTTTTCATTATCTGCGTAGCAATTACTGTTGAATCTTCTTCCTTTCCCTTTTTATGATGATGATTCTGTATTCTTACTGCTCTGTGTGCTGATGATAACTGGTCGTGTCTCACAATGATTTCTCCCACCTCTAAGTGTTCCTTAGGTCCTTCTGGGGAATGACTTTCAAAATGCAAGTTTGATCTAGTAACTTACCGCTTTTTATTGGCCCTTCCTTTATATCCTGGGCTTAGCAAGTGCATAATCACTTTCATGTGAAGAGTAGCAATTCTTTTGGATGCTAAGGGAAATATGAAGATGATTATGAACATGTTTTATAAATAATTAAAAACAGGTCCATAAAAGTTTTATTGTTGAAATTAAGTCGAGTGTTTAAATATAGAATAACTCAGTTATCAGTTGTTGAGCCCTTTTACTGCCTTTACCTCTCATCACATCCCAGGAACACTCGCCTAGACAATGTGCTATTTTCAGTTTCATTCGCTTGGTGTGTATTCATTGTGCTTTTACCAGTACCTGGTTTCTGTTGATTCTTTAAAGATTTATTTATTTATTTGAGAGGTAGTTGCAGACAGAGGGAGAGATAGAAAGAAAGGTCTTCCATCTGCTGGTTCACTCCCGAAATGGCCACAATGGCCTGAGCTGGGGTGATCCAAAGCCAGGAGCTTTTTCAGGTCTCCCATGCAGTTACAAGGGCCTAAGACCTGGGCCATCTTCTACTGCTATCCCAGGCAATAGCGGAGAGTGGGATTGGAAGAGGAGCAGCCAGAACATAAACCGGTGCCCCTGTGGGATGCCAACACTGCAGACGGAGGCTTAGCCTACCATGCCACAGCACTGGCCTCTTCTGTTGCTTCTTATTCATGAGAACACATTCCTATAGAAGATTTCATCATCATTGGTTTTTTCAGTGAAGTGCAATCTTATAATTCAAAGCAGTCTATTTTATCTGCTTCTTTGTTACGCTGCCCTACACTGAACAGGCACCTCAGTTTATCTGCTGTGTTATTTCAGGTATGTGTTTATACTTTCATCTTCAGACTAGCCTGTGAGCTGCTTTCAGAATCAAAATTTTATTCATCTTTATCTTGCTAGGAATAAGAACCTTTCCAGGTATATAAAGGAAACTTCATGGTACTATTTTTGGAAAGTACAAGTTAATAATACAGGTGCAATATGTTTTTACTGTGATTTTCTTTCTGTTGCCATATAGAATAAAAAGTGAGCTGCATCGTATGTAAGACATATATATGTGACACTCAGAAGAATAAACTCTCAGTCTTCCTGTTTTGTGATCAAGAGCTGATATGTTGAGGAGAAATATGCTGTTGCAGGTGTTGGTGTCATTTGAGGACTTGGCTGTGGATTTTACCTGGGAGGAGTGGCAGGACCTGGACAGTGCTCAGAGGACCCTGTATAGGGATGTGATGCTGGAGACCTACAGCAGCCTGCTGTCCTTGGGTGAGCAAAACTCCCCAGTAACTCCCAAGTGGAACCTTTCCTTTGAGAAATACATGAACTTTATATATGGTTTAATGCTATCTAGGTGTAGGATTCCAGTCTGTGAAGAATGTGACAATAAACACTAGCAAAAAGTTCAAATTGGCTGTTTCATTGCACAGCTCCTGAAGCTAAGCTGTTGTCATTCTTCAAAGGACCTGAGCTAGCAGTCTGGCAAAGTCCTACGTTATTTCCCATTAACAGGATTCTGCATTACCAAACCTGAGGTGATCTTCAAGTTGGAACAAGGAGCAGAACCATGGACGGTAGAAGAATCCCTAAACCAGAGCGTCTCAGGTCAGTCAGTACATACTGGGCAGGGAGAACAAGAAGAGCTCAGCAGAAGTTGGCTCTGTTGAGCTGTTCTCACCAATTTTTCCCAAGTCCCAGCCCTAACGACAACTGGCTTCATGCATCAGATATGTGTGTTTTATGTTCTCCAAAGAAAGTTCTTGTGTGTCCATCCTGGGAAGAGTGAAAACTAGACAAACGTAGGTGATAGTTCTCTTCCAAACCATGTTCCTGCTTATGGATCAGACTGGTGGGCCTCTTCTGCACCTGCAGATAGCTGATCCAAGATAACTTTGTCATCTTTAAAGCTGAAAGAGCAGCAAAGAAGAAGCATGAAACGTACATAGTTGCTATTGTAAAAAGCCAGAGTAAAAGAACAGAGAAAACAAAAGGCAGATGAAAAGTATTCAGTACTACAGCTAGGTAGTGGGTGAATATTTTTACTAAATATTTCTTCGCTTATTAAAAGAAAAGAACAAAGCAGCAAGAAACAGCATGGTTTAACATTGGAAGAACCATTTACATTATTTATTATATTAACTCATTAAGGAGAAAAAACATATGCTTACCATAATTAAAATCTTGTGTCACTAGGGTAGGAAGAAGTTTATTTACCTTTGTGTGAGCATTCTAGGAGTGATGCTTAGATGTGGTTCATGAATATGGATTTTTTTTTCTCATTTCAGTTGTCCAGAAAATTGATGATGTGATTGAGACCGGCCAAGAAAATCAAGACATAAATTTCTGGCAGTTTGTAATTGCAAACAGTAATACATCAACTAAGGAAAGAGTTGAATTAAGAAAAACATGTAATTGGAGCCCAAACTATATTTCAGAACTGATTTTGAGGAATGGAAGTTATTCAAGACTGGGGCCTCATGTGTTCAATATCTATCAGAATGTGCTCCTTCCTAGCGAGCCTGCTGAGATGCAAGCTGAAGTGAAACTTCGTGAATACCATATGACTGGGAATTCTCTCAGAGGCTGTGAGCATCTTGGTGAGCATTATGGGATTCACACTTTGCATCAGCCTTTTGAATATAATGAACAAGGGGAAACCCTCAACAGTGAAGAATTATTCTTTACACATAAGATGATTCAAATGGGAGAGACCTCCTATAAATACAGTGAATATGGAAAGCCCTGTGATCGGTCAGCTCTCATTGTTGGAGAGACAACTCACACAGGAAAGGAAGCATTCTATGAAAAGTTTAATCTCACTGAACGCAAGCAGACACACAGAGACGAGAAACTCTCTGAATGTACTGCATTTGGGGAAACTTTCATTAGCAAAGCAGATCTTATACTAAATCAGAGACCACATATAGGGATATATGAGAAACCTTTCATCTGTAGACCGAACCTTACTATCCATCACAGAGTTCACCCAGAGGGCAAGCCCTACGAATGCAATGAATGTGGAAAGACATTCTACCACAAGTCAAACTGCAGCAGACATCAGAGGACTCACACAGGGGAAAAGCCCTATGAGTGTAATGAGTGTGGGAAAACCTTCTTCAGGAAGTCACACCTCAGCATGCATCAGAGAACTCACACAGGGGAAAAGCCCTATGGATGTAACGAGTGTGGGAAAACCTTCTACCACAAGTCACATCTCCGCATGCATCAGAGAACTCACACAGGGGAGAAGCCTTATGTTTGTAATGAATGTGGGAAAGCCTTCTTTAGGAAGTCGCATCTGCGCATGCACCACAGAATCCACACAGGGGAAAAGCCCTATGGATGTAACGAGTGTGGGAAAACCTTCTACCACAAGTCACACCTCAGCATGCACCAGAGAACTCACACAGGGGAGAAGCCTTATGGATGTAACGAGTGTGGAAAGACCTTCTGCAGGAAGTCACACCTCAGCATGCATCAGAGAACTCACAGAGGGGAAAAGCCCTATGAATGTAATGAGTGTGGGAAAACCTTCTACCAGAAGTCGAACCTCAGCAAGCATCAGAGAATTCACACAGGGGAAAAGCCCTATGCATGTAGTGAATGTGGGAAAACATTCTGTCAGAGGTCACATCTCAGCATGCACCAGCGAACTCATACAGGGGAAAAACCTTACGAATGTAATGAATGTGGAAAAAACTTTTACCGAAAGTCAGACCTGACTATACATCAGAGAACTCACACAGGGGAAAAACCCTATGAATGTAGTGAATGTGGAAAGACTTTTTGCCAGAAGTCACATCTCAGCAGGCATCACAGAACCCACACAGGGGAAAAACCGTACGAATGTAATGAATGTGGCAAAACTTTCTGTCGCAAGTCAAACCTCATTATGCATCAGAGCATTCACACAGGGGAAAAGCCCTATGCGTGTAATGAATGTGGGAAAACTTTCTGCCGGAAGTCATACCTCAGGACCCATCAAAGAACTCATTCACGTGGGAAAGCATATGAATATAAAGAATGGCAGAACTTTCTACTCTAAGGGCTCATTGAATGTCATAAATCACACAAAAGGAAATTCTATAAACGTGATAAATGGGGAGAAACCTTTTGTAAGTCAAACCTCGACAAATGTCACACAAAGAAGGCACCCTAAGTGTAATGCATATGGGAAAACTTTTTGGCAGAAGTCACACGTCACAGGTATTAGGTATTGCACACAGGGGAGTAATACTGCGTGACAGAGACTGGCTGTGTATTCTCCATATTGTACTCTCTTTTCTTGTACATACAGCCTTTATTTTTAGACTCCTACTGTGGGTGTGGTTATATAACAGCTCTTGTTTTCACATGTGAATTTTGGGAATATTGAGTCCATAACACCCACTTCTTTAAAAAACCGTCATCATTTACTAAATTAGTATTTGAAGTGGCTATTTTTCTTTTATTCTTTGCCCACATTATTCCAGTACAGATCAGCTGTATAACCACAGGGGCATCATATGATTCCTAAGTGTCGGCCATAAAACTATAATCCAGCTCTGCATGAGACGTGTTTTTCCATGGTACAGAGTTGCTGGTGATCACTGTATTTGTGATAACCCCAGACTTGTATGGGCCTACAGCTGCCTGCAGTATCTGCATTCTGCGTTTACAGGATGAAGAAAGGCTGTGAGCAGAGTGTCCAATTGGCCTAAAGTCCAGGCGGTCTTCCTGTGAATGATACTGTGCTGGTGTGTTTTTTTTTTCTTTTATTTATTTGGTCGTTTTGCTTATACTTTGTTTAGATGGGTTACTCCTGTTTTAATTGAGCCTTGACTTGACTGAATTTATCTGGTAGGTGTGACTCCTTTTTTATTTCACTGAACTGTTTGCAGGCACTTGTTGAAAAATATGATAATGTTGAATATTATAGTAGCTTTATATTCCTCTTAATATAGTCTTTATTGTTTCATTATCATCCCTCACATTGATCTGTAATTTTATTTAAAGTATTTGTGAACTTCTTTCTATGTCCACAGAGACCTTTTCACAAAAAGATTTATTTATTTGAAAGGCAGAGTTACAAGGAAGGAGAGATAGATGGGGTGAAGGGGCGAGAGAGAGAGAGAGGGAGAGATCTTCTGTCTTCTGGTTCACTCTTCCAAAGGCCACAATGGCCAGGGTTGGGCCAGGCCAAAGCCAGGAGCCTGGAATTCTTTCTGGATCTGTTATATGGTGGACTCAAGTACTTGGGCCATCTTCTGCTTTTCCCATGCACATTAGCAGGGTGCTGGATCAGGAGTGGAGCATCCGGGACTCAAACTTATGCTCTTGTGGATTGTTGGGTTCGCAAATAAATGGCAGCTTAACCTAATGTACCACAATGCTGGCTCCCTCCAGAACCCTTCCTGAATTCTGATTTGATTTGCATTGGGCTTAGCTCTCAGTACACATGAGCCTTGTGACCTGGCCATTCCTAGGTATAAGGGCTACAAATGCATTAGTAGATATTCTAGCTGTACCTGTGTCTGTACTGTCTCCCGTCCTGAGGACAGGCCTGCAGTTCACCCCCATTCACCTCCAGTGCTCCATTGGCCCTTGTCATACCTTCTGGGAATTTCCCAGATACAAATCATGAGACGCAAACAACAAAAATGAGGATAAATACAGAAGTAATGGGAAACAAATTATGTGTATTTTAGAGAAAAACTAGCTAAAACAAAGCAGAGGTTTTTGTTTGTTTGTTTGTTTTGATTTGACAGGCAGAGTTAGACAGTGAGAGGGAGAGACAGAGAGAAAGGTCTTCCTTCCGTTGGCTCACCCCCCAGATGGCCGCCACGGCCGGCCCACCGCGCCGATCCAAAGCTAGGAGTCAGGTGCTTCCTCCTGGTCTCTCATGCGGGTGCAGGGCCCAAGGACCTGGGCCATCCTCCACTGCCTTCCCGGGCCACAGCAGAGAGCTGGCCTGTAAGAGGGGCAACCGGGACAGAATCCGGTGCCCCGACCGGGACTAGAACCTGGTGTGCCAGCGCCACAAGGTGGAGGATTAGCCTAGTGAGCCGCGGCGCCAGAAAGCTGGACTGGAAGAGGAGCAACTGGGACTAGAACCCGGCTCCCATATGGGATGCTGGCGCCGCAGGTGGAGGATTAACCATGGCACTGGCCCCATGCAGAGTTGTTTTTAAGGCAGAAAACACTTTTAGTGATAGAGCAAAGTCTGTACTGATCAAAAGTCCACGTTTTCAGGTAATGATAGCATCTGTAAATGCACATCTCACGGTTGAGCCTTAGCATATATGTACAGGGAATTTTTTAAAGGAGCAGACATATTTACCATCCTCTTGGGAGAACCCTACAGTATTCTCTCTCCATTGGGTTCAGCAATTGAGATGGGCAAGTGTTGTGGTACAGTGGGTTAAGCCACCCTTTGGGATACCTGCATTCCATATTGGAGTGCTGATGCAAGTCCTGGCTGCATTGCTGCTGATCCAGCTTCCTACGAGTGTGCATCCTGGGAGGTAGCTAGTGATGGCTCAAGTACTTGAGTCCCTGCAGTCCACGTGGGGGACCTGGGTGGAATTCCAGGCTTCTGGCTTTGGCCTGTTCCAACCCTGGCTGTTATGGCCATTTGGGAAGTGAACCAGCAAATGCAATCTTTTCTCTCACTCTCTCTCTCTTGCTCTCTCTCTGTCACACACAAAACACATGCTACCTTTCAAATAAATATAAGCATTAAGAAATTGAATGAGGTATAGAAAATAGGGGTAAGAAATAGCAGTAATAGATGGAAGTGGAGACCTCAGTTATCAGCTGAGTAATATTCAAGCAGTCCTCCCCCACATACTTTCATTGTTTTTTTCTACCAAGCTGGCACAATATTACCAGCTGCACAGTAAATATCCCACAGTTAGGAGAAGGTAAATTATGGGCTGAGGAACACATGGAAGCTCATCAGAGCCCAGGCTCTGCAATCCCCCAGGAGAAGAGCTACAGGAATCATGCAGCCTGTAGACTTACTGATGGTTCCACCTTGGAGTCTCTGCAGTAGTGCAGCCTGGAGTCTAGAGGCTCCCTCACTGCTCCTAGAATTTCTGTGAGTAGTAAGGAGAAGACCAAGGCTCCAAGGTAGGGGCAGAAATGGGAGAGAAAAGGTATGCACTGGGGCATGGCTGAAACCGGGGACACAGGGAAGGGTGTCACTGCACAGCCTCTCTTCTGGGCCTAGTTCATGGCTCTTCAGGGCCCAGAAATGAGGTCAGGAGGATGGAAGGAGTGGCTGGGGATGGCATGACCAACTGTGCACGCAGCTTGGAATGTGAGGAGGGCATAACTCATGCCTTACACATCCTGTCCAGATGGAGAGCCTGGTCTGTGTCCCAGTGTGGAGTAGTTTCTGGTCGTTGGTCACCGGAGCAGCCCTGTAAGTACAGGGAACACCCCTGGGTATGGGTGGTTGTTCATTTGCTGCTTGTTGTGAAGGGGTTCTGGGTTTCCTGCCCCTGCCCTTTGCCCACCACATATGCGTCTTACATCTAGGCCCCTTATGTGACACTTGAGTCTTTGGACAAGGGCTGGAGGTGACTTTGCTGAGTGGTGAGTGGCACAGCTTTTTGCCTGTGGCCTAAAACTCAATGTCTTGCTAGCATACCTGAAATCTGAATGGACTCACTCTCCACGTAGAAGCAGGGCATGGCCTGCATGCTGCTCTGTTCCTGTCCCAGAGAGTTGAGCAGGCCTGGCAGGAGGTGAGTAGACAAGAGCAGTAGATGGTGAAGGCTGGCCTGGCCCTCCCCGGGACTCAGTGCTGGGTTTGTGGACAGCAGGTGCGGTGTTACTTTCTCAGAGGCGTAGGGGGAATCCAGAGAGGGGACAGGAGCAAGTCAGGCAGAATGGAGTCCTGAAGAGAACCTGAGGGCTGGGCTGGGTGTAGAGGTTCTGCAGTCTTGGTGAGCAGGGATGTCGTTCCCCATCTGCCGCCAGTCCACTGCTGATCTCCCACCAGTGAGCAACGAAGTATGATTTCTCTGTCCTTTCCAATTTCATCTTTATTTCTTGTTTTCTCTCAGCTTTGGTTCTCCCTTTTGCTCATGTCTTAGTGTGGAAGACTAGCTGATTGATTTCAGGTCTTTTAAAAATGTAGATATTTGCATCTGTAACTTTTTTCTAACCCCTACTTTAACTGCATTATGTTTGTTTTTGTATGTTGTGTTTTCATGTTCAGTCGTAATTTGCCTTATTTCTTCTGTAACTCACTAGCCTAGAGTATATTGCTTACTTTCAACTGTTTGTAAACTCCTTAAATATCTTTCTATTACTGATTTTCAGTTCAAATCCACTATGGTCAGAAATCATACTTTGTATGATTTTAATCCTTTTGAATTTAGGATAAATGTAGGATGTTTTATGAACTATCAAATAGTCTTTTCTGGACAATATTCCGTGTTCACTTGAACAGAATGTGTATTCCGTTGTTGGATGTGTGTGGTGTCTGTATCTAAATGTATATGAATTATATAGATGAAGTGGAAACATTTATTAAGTCAGTTCATTGTGTTTATATCCTTGTCAATCTTACTGTTTTTTCTCTTAATTAGTGAAAGTGGGATATTGACATTTGCAAGACCTATTATTGAACAGTCTAATTCTCTGTGAACTTTTGCCCTTTATTTAATGTTGAGCTTTTTTTGTTAGGTACATATGTTAGGATTGTTAGTTGTTCAGATTGGTTGGGCCTTTTAGTACTATAAAATATCTATTTGTCTCAAGATTTGTTTTGTTTTAGTCTATTCTGTCCATTTTGGAGATGGCCAGCCAGTATATCTAACTCATTCAAAGTCCTTTTACATGATGTATTGTCTTTCTGCCCCTTAAATGTCAGCCTTTTTGTATCATTGAATTTAAAGTGTTTTTATGGGGAGCTGGCATTGTGACACAGTGGATTCAGCCACTGCTTGCAGCACTGACCTCCGTCTCATTTTGAAGAACCAGTTGGGGTCCTGACTGCTGTGCCTCTGATCCAGCTCCCTGCTAACACATGCACTCGAAGAGCAGTGGGTGATGACCCAAATATTTGGGCGCCTGGCTTTGTCCTGGTCCACCCTGGCTGTTGTGGCCATTAGGGGAATGAACCAACAGATGGATGATTTCTCTTTCTGTCTCTCCCTCTCTCTAAGCCTACCTTTCAAATAAATATTTTTTTCAAAA